CTCCGAATCATTAAGAAATAAGCTTATAGATACAGGAAAACGCAGAACCAGCTCAGATATAATAGTCAAGACATTGCTTGAACAATCAAAATGCTAAAAAAAACAAAAACCTAAAAACAGAACCTAAAGCAAGAATGACCAAGAAAGAGAGGAGAAAGACCAAAGCGAAAATAGATATACACCCCCAAAGCAAATCGCAAATAAACAAAACATAACTTTTTTTTTTTGCTCCCCCGTGATTTCATCCACTCCAGAAACCGCGTTTCATCAGACATGGAGATTAATCTTGTTTATCCATTGGTGCCGACGAGATATCTTCAGACATAGGACTAGTCCTCCGAGATACCCTCACTCATGGGAGTGGCAATGCCACTTTGAATCCAGGGTGCTCCGTTTGCTCTCTCTTCAATAGGCCACACCTCCCTGGCATATTCCTCCATCCCCCTCCAACCTGGCCATAGCTGCCTTGATATTGATGGAACCATATCCTCCATTTCCGGCCTAAAGTATGGAGCACGTTGCTCGCAGAGGACATTTACAATGCCTTCAAGCTGGTCGCGGTAGCCGATGGGGATGGGAATGCTGATTTCTAGCGGATGGGGTTGGTAATTTACTGGTCGCCCGAGACCTTTGCTGAATCGATGGCAAACCTGCAGGGGTGTAAGGACCTCAAAGGCTAGCGGGATTCTAGATAAATGTTAGAAAAAAAATCCAAGCAAATTGATGGCGATCGTAGAGAATGCTTACCGTTGACCACCCCACCTCTTAACACCGTCCTTCAAAATTTGAATGACCGCAGCTCCCAGATCGTGTTCCGTATCGATAAAGGGGATGGGGTAATCTGGTGGGAATGGCGCCTTCCATACAAAGCTTCCGTCGGGTTTCGGTGTCAATTGCCATAATGGGTACGGTCTAGATGAGAAATTGTTATGGTAACATCCGACATACACAAAGGTTGATGGCATGCCAAGCTGGCGGATGTACTGCTCCACCGTGAACTTCGTTGCCCACAAGGGCAATGGCGCCATTGGCTCGTCATGTGTAGAATGATCGGTTAAAGACGAGAAGATATAATGCCTGATGCCTGCCTTGTGCGCCGCAAGTGCTAGCGCCTTTCCGGTCGCTACCTCATCTGTCCATGCATATGGGGTTGTGTTTACGAAGGCATATTGAGCGCCCACGAACAATGTAGAGACAAACTCGGCGTCGTCCAGAGAACCCTCGATAAGGGTAACATTAGGAAGCTGAGACAGCTCTGCCGAAAGTTGTAGATCTTTAGATAGTGATCGAAGCTGAGCGCGTACTTTGTAGCCGACCGCCGATGCAACTCGAACTACGCTAGATGCTTGCCTGCCAGTGGCATTGAGCACAACGATAACCTTCTGAGGTTTCGAAGCTGTCTGAGGGAGTGGATCGGAGTCCGTCATGTGAGGTTCTATGACGACGGCGGAGGGACGAGGACCGGCTTGGGCAGTTTTTCTGGGCATTCAATGGGCGATTCGTGTATACGTGGGAAAAGTTTGAGTGTTGGACTGTTGCTGGTTATCGCGAAAAGTAGGATGGGGCTCTGAAGATTTTTCGAGGTGAAGATAAGAAAGGTGGGAAAAGCAAGTACGAAACTTGTGTGGAAATGCAGGTGCAAACAGATCGGCAACCAGCAACAGTAATAGTAGCGACAGCCAAAAAGTGGTTAAACGCTCAACAGGCGCAATGACAACGACGTCAATGACAACAGGGTAGGAGAAAAGATATAAGGGCAGATGATATCAAAAGCCAGACCCAGAACCTAGAGGCGACTGTGACGGATTGGACGAGAGGATAGACGGCGGATATATGGCGAGATTCACAGAGGTGGATCAAACGACTCGGCGAGGTGCAGTAATAGGAATACTGATAGTAGAGGTAGTGGCAGGGAAGACCGAAGTTGACAGCAGACCTCCTTCTCTTTATCTCTCTTCCTTTGTGTCTCTTCGAATTCCTCTATCTTACCTGGTCCCTTTATCTGACCGCCTAATTTATCTTTCCGGACTCCGTATTGAATCTCCGAAATAAAGTATGGCTTTCAAGATAGCAATCCGGGGAAAGCGTGGGGGATAAATATGTATGTAGATGAGAAGGAAAAAAGAAAAAAGGCGGGGTTGAGGGGCAGATCAAGTCAAGGGGAGCAAGGGACGAAAAGGCCGATATAATAGAGGTTTTTCAGACGCTGCGCCAGAGTTCGTGTCTAATGCGTAACAACAACAATAGGACGGGTGCTACTATCCGCTAAGGGCCAGGATGTGATTTCTTTGCAATTCAGGAAAGGATCACCATACACCGGGGGGTGGATGGGAAGTGAGATTGGAAGCCGAAAGATAGAGATAGAGTAGATAGTGTCAGACAGATAGGTAGAAGTGGTGGGGGTTTTTTGAAGCTTTTGGGGGTGGACGATGGATGGATGGATAGGTGGATGGTCCGGCCTCTTTGAATCAATCAATCACTAACTCCAAGTCAGCCACTCGGTCTTTTCAGGTGAGGTGGAGAGATAATGAATCTCGTCTGCTGCAGTAATTACCACGATGGATGACGCTATGGTCACCTGTTCTACCAACGCTCGATTTTCTCAATTGAATAGGCACTGGATGGCACTGATTGCTGATAACGGACGACGACGACGACGACGACGACGAAGAATATGAAGAGAACAGAGATACGAAAATCTTGTTCTCAATCAAGGGCGTGAAGTTTCCGGTCTGTCACTCTCGACAGACATCCTCCGTTATGTACCTCTCCCGTTCATCGTGTCTTTCTCTCCTATTCCTACACGTGAACTCAATCTCCAAAGGCGCAACCACTTCCCCTACAACGGCTAGCAATGGGAGAAAAAAAAGTGTCCCCATGTCCATGCTGCTCATGCTGCTCATGCTCATGCTTCTACTCTACTCTACTTTTGTTACTGCTCCACAAAACCTGCCACCTGCCATTGTGTAGGCAACTGAGTCAAGCAATGCCGTATTACAAATCCTCAATGAGGAATAGAGCAGTGTCAAGTCCAGTCCGGAGCCCCAAATCCAGCATTTCGTCCTCGATTCGTCGAAACTCGCCTTTCGGAGGCAGGGAAATTGGAAATCGTCTTCCTCGCGGGTTGACAAAAGACACGATGCTTTCCTTCCTTTTTCCCCTTTCCTTTTTTTTTCCCCATTCTACTTTACTCCAGCCCAAGGAACAAAGCAACCAAGCAAACCTATCGAGCGGCAGTGGCAGATTTACGTAACAGCCGACCTACCTAACAACCTTGTGGGCTTGCTTGCCTGGACAGGAACGAAGAAAAAAATTCAAGTCAGCAGACGTTGGGGTCGCAGAACCCAGAAATTCCAACTACATAGGGACAGCTAGTTCTCCTTGCGACCATTGCAAGCGAAGGGAGGAGCCCCTGTCTGTGATCTTGGCAGATCACTACAAGAGAAACGATTCGAGTACAAAATGGGTATGATAGAGCAATAATCTTGAAGAATTGGAACACATGGTGCCGCTTCTCCACTTTATCCTCGGTGTACTCCAGAGTACAGGAAGTACCACAGGACCAGGAGTCCATGGGTACAAGCCCTCTTACCCTGCATTGTAACATCCTTCGCTGCAAGGCCCGTGCGCTAATTCGTGGAGAGACATCACGATAAGTCTACAGAAAAAGGTGAGAAGAAGAGAAGGAAAGAGAAGAGGGAAAAAAAAAAAAAACTTTTTACCCCCGGGCTCGGGTCACAAGGCTATGCAGCATGGATTCTCTCGCATGCGGTTGTTATGTAACCCGTCATACTTCCAGCCAAATCTCAACGTCCTGCAGGCACTTCCCTTTGTCTGGTTGGTTATCAACAATTGCAATTGGAACAAATATCATCGTGACATTGCAGCTGGCAAAAGACCGGGGGTATTGTGCACGTATTTGCCAGGTTCGGTTCATTTCCCCTGGACGGCCCCGTGTGAAAGTAGTCTGGTACCTGGCCTACTGCAGGAAAATCTCATCATCCCACGAGCTGTGGGGAATTAGAATTTCCAGCCTTTCCGGATACTGTACCTTTTTGTACGTAACGTGGGATGAAGTGCGAGCTTGATATTTGAGATTCATGGCACTTGTCCTGAGCACCGACACGTCGTTCGGCGATGTATGGATAGCTCCGAGGAAAAGGTCGAGAACATTGCCCTGTGCGGAACGGCGATTATTATCCCCCAATGGGGAAGGCAAGCCAAGTATTCTTTTTTCAGTGCTCAGATCCGGAAGATTTACAGAGTTCTTTGGGATCCCTGGCAGTACCGGTCTACCGGTATTGGGCAGACACCTTTAGGGTAATCATTATTAGTACGTATCTGGCGTGCACGGCGTACTCCTCACACAGGCATGTTATGTTGGTACCTAATGTATCAAGACCAAGGACTTGTCCGATAGAAACAATATTTCCAACTGCGGAGGTGAGCGAAGCGCTTTAATATCTTATCTAGAAAGCAAAAAAAAAAAAAAAAAAAAAAACGCATTGTCCCTCAACATAAACACCTCTATCCGTATTATAACCGCTTTTGGATATCCCAATTTTCTAATCATTAAAGAATTAATTTTCACGCTGCCAGTCCTGTGCACCTTGATGGCGACCTCCGTTCATCCTCGGCTCACTACGGATAGATGCATCTACTCTAGCTACGTCTCTACCCCACGGTTTACGGAATAAACCCCTGGTCCACCCGCCCGTCAATCAGCTGGTGTCTTGGTGAACCAGGTGTCCCTGGAATAGCATCTCTCTTATGCGGGTGAGGGACGTGACCGGACGTCCAATGCTTACTATTTTGACCCCAAAGAAGGGGGAAAGCACAACCGGCAGTTGATTGGATTCGGGGAGCGAAAAAAGGCAGAAAAAGGAAGGAAAGCTCTAGTGTTTTGTCCCGGGTAAAAAAAAAAGAAAAAAGGGCAGAAAATGAAGAAAAATATAAAACTACCCGGGTTTGTATGCATCGTTACCAGTACTGGTAGCCTTTCAAAGCCCCGCAATTTTCCAGCACCTAACCCTGGCTTCTTTTAAATTCCCATTCCCATTGGCATCACCATTACCATTATTAGTACCACCATTATTACCATTAGATGCCTCTTGAGCCTTTTTCAGAAGCAGGATGGCCAGATCCACCTCATCTGCATGAAGATGTGCACCACTCTTCTTTAGCAGCTCGACGTTCCTTTCTATCCCCGCTTCAGCAGCCAAGAACAGAGGAGTCCTTCCGTCACGGTTACGCAAATGCACAGACGCCCCCTGGGACAGAAAGTCACGAAGGATATCGATATTTGTGCACGTGGCCGCCAGGTGCTAGAATTTATTAATGGTCGTCGTCAGTGACTTCGTTTAAGTCGAAGGAAAAATGAAAATAAAAGAAGCAAACATTCGCCGGCGGGCAGAGCAAAAAAACACTGGAGTCTGGACACCCAAAAAGATGGCTGACTAGGTAAAGAGTAGAAGGAATATCCTGATCCTGGGGAAGGAATTGGGAAAGGGTGGGGGCTGCCAGGAGCCAATTGGTGGCCCGGATCAACAAATTATGTAACGGGAAGGGGGACGGAATCCGAACTCATGACGTAATGCATCGTGAAGGATGAAATTTTGAGAAAAGGGTGCACGGGATCAGCGGCAACGATCCCTAAACGAAGGGCTGCCCCCATCTATGTATTTCCTTTGCGACCAATGCCTTCATTGGATGATAGGCAGAGCCGGGAACAGCACCCCCGAGAAGAAGCAAAGGGAAAGGATGAGACAAGGAAATCGAAAATATCACTCACTAGTGGCGTATTCCCTGAGTAATCGAATTCATTAAGCAGGAATTCCTTTGTCTCTTTGATGATGGCTGTGATCTCCTCATGACTCCCATTGGCAACGGCGTATCCAAGCGCTGTCAAGGAAGACACCTTGGGTGGCAGGAATGAATTTGGATGGGCAAAATGTATCTCTGACTGTTCTGTCAGTTCCCCGCGGATGGAGCGAGACATCTCTTTCCGGATCTCTTGCACTGAGAGATCGGCATTGGCGAGGAGGCAAGACAACTTTGTCAAGGCCGCTGAAACCACCACCAAGATGTCAGCGTTTGTCCTATCGCAGATCGATACTCCCGCCCCGGAAGCTGTACAACGGCCCCGAGTCCAGATGACGTCCAATTAAGCATTTCCAGGAAACAGGGTTTCCACAAGCGAAGAGGAAAAAGCAAGAAAGATAACAGATAAGGTCAATGGGGCAGAGCCAGTGAATGGTAAACAAAAGTTGAGTGTTGAAACAAATACCTTCGCTAGTCATATCCAAACCAAAAACAACGCCAGCTCTCGCCAAACTCGTTGCAGATGCGTATAAAGGGCTTACAGATCCCACTTGGCACTGAGTAACATTAACAATTACCACTCCATTCTGGGCGCCTTCCTTTAGAACGCCAATCAGCTCTCCGTCCTCAGGCGCATTTCCAGCACCAAAGGTCTCCAGAACCAATCCGCGCAAGTTCTTCAGCGCCAAAACACCTCGCACCATCTCCGGCAAGATCCCTGGGAATATTCTCAGACATGCCACATGGGCCGTTGATAGACTTGTCTGGACTGAGAATGGTTGCATGGTGGAAGGGCGCTCGATCAGCGGCCAGTTGATATTCGCCGAGATGCCCACCCGAGCAAGTGGGGGGAAATTCGGAGATGTGAATGCATGAAAGTCATGCGCATTGGTCTTGGTCGCTCTGGAAAGAACATAATCTCCGTCAGAAATAGATTGAAGGTTTGAGGGGGGATAAAATTATACCGGTTCCCGCGAAAAAGCTTGTGGTTGAAAAATAGGCAAACTTCAGGAATCATGTAGTGCCCCGCAATGATTAGACTTCCGAGGAGGTTATCCGTAGCATCGTTTTGGAGCTCCGACATGGGAGCTTGCGAGCCTCTGTGTTGCGATCCCAGATGTCAACGCCTATCTCTAATTAGCATGAGAGGAGAGGTGCCATGTACTCACGTCAAAATGACCGACTTTCCAAGATTGTTGATCATGAAGCTCAAGGCAGAGCTAGTGTAGGCCAGACTATCCGTGCCATGCAAGATGACAAACGAGTCAAAGAGGGTATAATTCCGCTGGATCGCTCTCGCAATCTCGCCCCATCCCTTTGCGTTGATGCTGGAGCTGTCGAGCAATGGATCAAACTCGAGGGCGGCAAAGCGCACTCTGCGGGAATGCTTTGACGGCGGAGTGCCTATGCATCATCAGTCAGTAGCTAGTCAGTGGTGGGGGTGATTGGTGTTTGCGAGAAGGCGGGGAAGAAGCGCACGTAGAGTGTCCACCATCTTTGTGACGCCATCGGCAATAGCAACTGGTACCTGCTTGACCGGTGAGGCGTCGTTGAAGGACGGGCGCGGCTTCAGACAGGACTCCAAGAAGCCCTTGGCCTATGTGCAAACCAATCAATCAGAACTTTCCGCACGAAACCGATAAGTGGGGGGAGGGGGGAAGAGAGGTGCTTTTCTTACAGGAACATATCCGTTCGGCCCTCTAACCATACAGATTGTGCCTCCTGTTGAACGCACTCCCGATCAGCAACCCATTCGTTCCACAGAAGTTATCGCGCGCGGGGGGGAGCAGTTGAGTTACCGGTCATGATTAGCAACACCCGACTCTCGGCCATCTTGACTTCGCCAGTATTGCTCAGGACATCCGGGGGATAGAGGGCGCGGGCCTCTGTCGGCGAGCTAGGAGCAGGCGTGTTTGTCCGAGTGGTCACGGCGGAGAAGGGCAACATTTGGTGATAGTGTATAGTTGATTTTTTTTTTTCTTCTCTTTCTTTTTTTCTTTGTTGGGCGGAGGATACCGGCTGCTGTATGTACCTTGTATGCTGTGATCGACCGGACAGTTATATGTGTGTACTCTAGAGATATTTCGCTGCTGCTGATCAGGCCGGTGGTGGGGTTGGAAAGAAAGCAAATATACTGTCTGTCGGGATAGATATGTAGATATCTGCTATTTCCAGCGGCCGGTACGGATATCGAGGGCTTCCCACGGCGGTGTAGAGTTTGGACCGGATTGGATTGAATTGGATTGGTGTTGTAGGACGACGGGCTTTGACAATTTTTCTACTCTACTCCTACATGACGTTACGTTATGGAGCAGAAGATTATCCGGCCAGCATCCGGCATACGTCAGGGGAGTGGATTAGAGTGGCTCATGTACATAACAGAAATGCATGTCAGTGTCGAGGAGCTCCCCTCTCTGACTCTCGCTCCTCCCCCGCCGCCGCCGATTCGATGAGGTTGCAGTGCTTATCGCGGTGGGAATTAACCCTAACCCACGGAGTGACAGGGAAAGATGGAGGAAGAAGAAAGGGTTGCTGCTGTTGCTATATTTGGTTTTTGGCTTCCCGAAAGGTAGTGGCTGCCGAGATGGATCGGCAGGGGAGGGAGGGATGGATGGATCCCTGTTTGGAGGGTGGTGAAGACTTCTTTGGGTTTTTACTGTCTACATGATCTAGTTGATGATGATGGGGTAATACTCCGATCTAATTGAGTCATACTTCATATCATATACTCTATAGATGGCACAAGTGTCGAATTGCTATGCAGCGATCCTGGCGACAGCCCTGTGGGCTGTTGATTCATAATGAGATATTCTGAAGCGGCCAGTACTTGGTTGCTGGACAATCATAATTATTGCATGCATTAAACCTATATTATAGAGGAGATTTTATAACGCAATTCTACTCTATATAACCTTTAACTAAGGACAACCCCTCGAGATCTGTCTCCGACATTCAGTGCATTCTAGCTAGTAGATCGATATCTAGCTAGAGTAGGCCTCTTCTTTCAATTTTCAGAAAAGTAGAGTTTTTCTTTTAGTTTTTAGAGGTAGATATTTTCTTTTAGATGTGCAATTCTTTCTAGGTGTGGAGTTCTTTTTAGGCTTTTTACTAGAGTACCTGCCCGCCCCGAAGACCGGTCCGTACGTCGTCGATCACATACTATAGAATACCTACATACTCCCCCCCCGGCCCCGGCACATACGGCGTGCGGCGTACGTGGTGCAGTGTGGTGTAGTGATAGGTAGTGTATCTGCGTGATGTACGCAGGGAAACACATCACATGGTGATCTCTTTTCTTTTTTACCTCCTTTCTGTTTCTTGTTCGTTCCATCATTTCTTTTCGCTCCTTCCATCCTTTATTTTTTTTTTTATTCTCCATAATTGCTTTTTCGACAAATTTGCTTTTGTTCATGGGGGTCACAGGAAATGCCAATTCGATATTTGCTTCTTTGATCTCCCACCACATCCACACATCCACACATCCACACATGCCAGTACCATGCCACCATTACGATCACCATCCCACCCATTACTCAGGCCAAACGTTCTAGAGGTCTGGATATGTCATGGTGGTGTTCTAGAGTCTTTCCTTTTTTTCTTTCCTTTTCTCGGATCCCGTCTTTTGTTTCTTTTGCTTTTTGCTGGTGTTTGGCCGGGGGTATACCGGTAGTGCCGTTGGAGTACATGGCAGGGGAGAGCGGCGATGTGATCGATGTGATGTGATCCTCGGGATACTGACGTGACGTGACGTGCGAGGTATGGCGCCCACCCGCGTCCGCCCGCTGTTAACTTGGAGTAGAGGGGTTGTGGATCTGCGTTTGCGTTCTAGGTATGCGTTGATGATCCCCGGGGTTCGTGCCGGTGTATGCTGGAGTGGTGGAGTGTATGATGCAGAGTGTGGAGTGTGGTATAGTTAGGAGGATGATCTATGGGGGCCTTTGGGGTTTGGGGGGGGGTATGTTCGTATGGGGTTCAATTGATCATTGATGCCCCGAGAGGAGTGGAAGTGGTAACGAGAGTAGTGGTTTCGTAATCATGGACTTAGCTGGCGAGTTAAGGCGAGATGGCGGTCATGGTGTATCACTCGCTAAGTCCCGTGGTTCCAGATATAAACAGACAGAGGGGAATTGGGGAAAGATCTACGTACGGCCTTAAGCCTTCTTGTCTACGCCCACCATATAACGCCAACCGAGAACCTCCTATACACCAATAACCACATTAGAAGAGAGCCAACTCATAATCAACGCGCTCCAGTAGAGTAACCCAGGCGCCCGGTACGCATATACGTTGGGGATGGAGCGACGGGGGTGCATCATGTACTATCACTCGGTTTAGTATTCCGTGCTGGGGGAGAGGATATATTTCATGAATTATAGAGGAGGTTTTTGTTTATAGGGAGAATGGAGGCTTATGTCTATATGTTTATATATTCCTTCCTTTCTAGCTCCATGTTGATTTGCTTTCTTTTCTTTTTTTCTTTTTCTTTTCTTCCTTATTTTTGTTTGCTCGATATGAGCCAGTAGTACCTCCCCCGTGATCTTACACGTAGTTTTGTGGTTTTCTAAACGAATATAATACCACACGCGGTTTACCATTCATCCGTCCGTCTGACTAAATCTACAGAGCCATCCACTTTCTCGTACACGAGGCCGGAGCTGGCATAGTGCAATGCCTCCCGCGCCGGGAGTTGATCTAATTGTCCAGATCACCTCTTTGAGCTTTTCGACCTCCTTGGCATACAATGCCAAACTATGGTTGTGATCTTGGGTTTATATAATCTGCACCACCTACCCACATACCCGTAAGGAGCCCCGACAGCTAGATAAACCCCGTAGACCCACCTCGGCCTCGATACTGGTACCGGTATTGCTCTCCCACTTACATGTAGCGTCCCATGAAGCGGCCAAATCTCACTCTCTATATCAGTATGATGAACTGAGCTGGCAGGACGACGGTCAATATTGCGAGGTCAAGGTATAGATGGCTAGCTATAGCGGGACTGATTAATTAGGCTAACGGCCTGAGGTTGGTCTCCGAGTGATGGGTTGTGATTGGCGATACTGCTGCTGTCTTGTGTGTGGGTAGGTTTTACGGCGGTATTGTATTTCTCTAGATCTGGGCTCGTTGTGAGTCATGGTATTAGTATGAGGCGAATTCATCGCTAGGATACTGTTCTGTGTCTGCTTTCTGTCGCGTGGATTTGCCTAGGTATCCCTTAAGCTGTTACTTAAATGCTGCCAACATGACGCATGGTAATATCAGGAGAGCCTCGCACGAAAGCCACAGAATTGAGACATGATACTTGGCAAAGTTGGCAGCTTTAACAGCATAAAGGATAGTCAGCTTGGATCAATCATGCAAGGTACATCTCGTGGGTGTTCATATATTATTCTAGGATGGTTGAAGATCTTTACGATTTGGGAAGGTTATATTACGATATTGGACGACACATCTCTCAGGTAGGCTGTTACCCCGACATGTTAGGAGCGGAAGGATCGGCATTACACACTTGTACCGAACGAGTGATGGCTCATGAGTCTCACGAAGATTCAAACAGGAGCCACAAACAGGTTATAGACTTCATTAAACTCATCAACAAGATATCAAACCCGACACGCTCAACAAAGGAACACTCCTATAGCAATCTATACACTCCGACAAACTAACACTGTCTCATCCTTTCAAAGTTGGGAGTCCCTAATCCCGTGACGGGATCCCATCCTGGAACTGCATCCCACCCAGCACCTGGCACAACAGCTGGATTACCCGCAATAGGCTGCCCCCATATTTTTCCATTGCACCCCGTGCTCCTTCCATGAGTGATATCATTGAAAGTCTCCGCAACTTTATCGGAGTACAGCCACGGATTGAGAAATCCGAGTGGTGGCTTTCCGTTGGCAATACGGTCATCGTTCAATAAACTAACAAGCCCAGCAAAAGCTGGAGAGCTAGCAGATGTACCGCCAATCAGATTAACCGTCCCGTTAAGAATAACACGGTAGTTGAAACCCTGAGCAGCAACATCTGGGAATCCACGCCCTCCTTTAACGAAATACTGTTCCCAGGGTTTCCATGAGTCTGGATTGTTCTCAAAGTAGGCAGAAACGGCCTTCTCCTGGTACGAAGGTACAGGCCATGTCTCCGAGAATCCACCAGAGGAAAAGTATACAGCTTCTTCGGGATTAATATTTTTAGTTCCACCAACACTAGTTACCCAAGGGCAAGAGGCTGGAAATGAAGGGAGGAACTTTGTTGTATTCTTGCCATCATTGGAGCGACACGACCAGCCGGGGCCAGCATCACCGGAGGAGAAGAGGACACTGACACCACGGGCGCCAAGTTGAGCAAAAAGATTGCAGACGGTATGGCGGTAGCTGAGAGGTACGGTTTGTTCGCTTTCTCCATAACTTGTGGTGATGGTCTGAGGGATATCTGGCTGATCCAAGATCCAGTTAAGCCAATCGAGATAAGGCTCGCTGTCGTTCGTGACTACGTCAAGGTCCGGGATGTAAGGAGGCCTTCCGCCGGTTGAGTAGTATATATTCTGAGTGGGATAGCTTAGAGAGACAGTATACTGAATATCGAGATTTGCCTCTGCGATACCGTCAAGGTTGGATGAGTTTTGAATTGCTAATCCGCCATTGACCGATACAGTAGAGAAGTTTGCGCCGATGGCTTTGGGAGCATAGTTCTGCACAAAGACCTTCAAGTCTTCATACTGGGCGTACTGCTCAAGAAAGCCGTTTACACCCAGCTTATTCTTACCGTAGGGTGCCTTCGCAACGTAGTCTTGGAAGTTGTAAAGAACCTTCAGACACTGGGGAACAATGGTATCGTTACATTGAGTGAAATTGAATCCGGGTGCCATCTGCTTGAAGGCCTTCATCTGCCGCAAAGATGCATCTTCAACCTCTTTGATGATAGTACTTCCCATTTGTCTCATGCCAAACATGTTGGTAGGTTGTACCAGGAGAATGTGTTTATGGAGTTCAGCCGGGAGGCTGTAAGAAAGGGTACGAAGGATAATCTTTTGGGTCTCGTCGTTACGGAAGTAAGAGTATCTCGTTTGCAGAAGCTCTTGTGCTTGACCAATAGTGACATTCATCTTGATCCAGTCATGTTCAACAACGGCCTGCTCGCCAAGACCAGCATCCTCTAACCACGTGAGGACTGCGTTAAGAGTACTTTGAGATGGCCGCAGCATGCTCTTGATCTGCTCGGTATCCATGTGGTCACCGTAGGAAGGATGATCTGGGGTGCTGATCTCCATAACCTTCTGCTCAAACTTGACAACATTCTGTTGGGCAAGGTGAATGCGCATTGCCATTGATTTCTGCAAATTTACTCGCATTGATGGTAGCTCTGTCCACCCCTCGGGAGCCATAGGAAGCTCCTCAAAAACTTCATAGGGGGTTGAAGTCGAGGCAGCTGGTACGCTTAATGCGAAACCTACTAGGGCAACGAGTGGCCATGCTGAAAAATTGATGTACCGCATCTTAGCAGTTACTAGATCACTAACTGTTAGCTTATGTACTAATTTACAGGTCTAATAGGCTGTCTCTTGGATCGGGGTGCGTTTACTACATGTAGTAACATAGAAGTTGTAGGTTTGAAATGATGTAAAAGAGAATGTGGTCCATACCAGATGTGAAAATCCCGATAAACTTTCTTAAAGCAGAAAGGTAAGTCTAGGACTTTTCTACTTAGAACAAAACTAACCAGGGGAGGGTGAAGAGACCAAGACTTCCAAGATGTCGATGCCGAGCTTTATGTGGGGGAATGCGGGTAGATATACGCATATGTGGTACATCTATTCACCACATGTCATAACAACAAAACCATAGGTCAGGGAGGACGAACATACTGAGTAACTCGGCCCTAACCCCACTAGCTCCCGCAGTGCTGTGAGGTGTACATTCATTCCACACCTCTAACCATAGCAAGCCGTTTTCCGCAAGTGATACTATTTGCTGACATTTCCAACTGCCAATACCGGCGTGAGAAAACAAGCCTTTTGATGAAATCTTTCGGGCTGTATTGCCCGAGAAGGCAGCTGAAAAATCGTTTCTCTAGGTGCCCCTTGCTCCTACCAGATATGTAGGAACGTTCCCTATCATCTTACTGGGCGATCTACCTGAGATTAGATAGGTACGTAGAGTAAATCTCTTGGTCAAGCTCCTTAAATAGCCCTGGCCCCTGGGCCGGGACAGCCAAACAATTGTTTTGGCAGCGAGTTATTACGTATCAAGAGACCTAGATACATATCTCCTATCGATACCGGTTAACCGATAAACTCTAGAGTATTTTAGAGGGCGTTCTCCACCAAGATTCCTATTCGGAGTTGATTCGGGCATCTCTCCCTTCGAAGGGAAGTTGTCGTTGGATTGTGACGATCTCAAGTCCAGAGAGGAAGTTCGCAGTCCCAAACAGACTAGCCCCCGTGTGGCGCTGTAGATAAGCTTCGAGCGACAAACGCCTCAGTGCGGGACCAATCTTGATTCGCCATCCACTTATGCAATTTCACAACCTGAAACGGGAACAGCACTTCAATGCTTAGCCATACCTCATCTCCATACAAGTGGGCCTAGGAAGAAATCTCATTTGACGCCTACTTGGATTGAATAAAGCATCAGCCGAGCCAGGCCGGGGAATAATTCGTTCGGGACCTTCCCAGGGACAATCTTCCACCATCCTGCATGACATGACCACACAACTATGTCCACGGATACAGCGGGATCACGATCTGGGACTTTCCTCCATATGATCACGGACATTAGGTACAAACAGGTATCCGACTACGATCTGTTTGCTTTACGCTTGTCGCCGCCCGGCGCTCCCCGCTCAGGTCGTTAAACTATTGAGGGACCACGAGCTGGGATGGAAACAATTGCTCTTGAGGTTGATCATTTTCCTCTTAGCTCAACGTATTCTTTGAAAGCCTATCTAGGTAGTTCAGACTTAAACGGTGGCCTGCGCATGCGACACTCCCTACTACAGCCTACCAAGCGTACCAATGTCCGTCTAACCTCATACATCCAAATTATTAGCTCTATGTCTTGGCAGGCCCCCAAATCACTGAAAACAAGGGTTCCCAATAGGAATGGGAAGGTAGCAAGGCGGTTTTCTCCACACTGATGCCAGCAGAGAGTCCAGAGCCGCAAATAAGCGCTTGATCGACCAGGAAATTTTAAGATTTTATGGAGGCAAATCCCACCTCGATTCGAATATCATTGGCCCAAACCGTGTTATGACGAGATAGGTTATATTTATTGGCTTACTATTCAGCCCTGTATAGTAATCGAGCAACGAGTGACGAATCATGATACCGGAGAAGCAGCTGAATAGGATTATTCCCTCGCGGGCTTTCTATGGAATGCAAATGCATCTTGCTGCAGCCCTGAGTAAGACCACTCCAACACGTGGGATATGGACCAACGATTCTCAGATCCAATCATATATGAAACTTCAGCTTTTGGTTAAATATAAGCCACTGCCAGAGCCTGGGTTTCCCCGATCTCTGGAATGAAGTATCGTAGCTATCCCTATCCTATTTTGTGCCATCACGCCGCCATGAGCTGATGTCCAGTATGGAGGAACTAAAGAGATTAAAATATCTCATCATTGTGTCTCAACAGTTACTTTTGAAAACAAGATGATTTGGAATTCATGGCAGAAACCTCGGCACTTGACCTTTTTGGCAAAGTTTTGCCCGTCTTTTGGGCGTATACATATATCGCACATCAATCAATCGGATTTGATCCCTTAGGGGCAAACAGTGACAGCGCATACGTGAGATTTAAGGAACGGATTTTATCGGCGACTTTCATATAATACAGTACTACACACGTTATAGGCTAGATTTCCTGCAGACTGCATGTGGGACTTGAGCACGATACACCACGTTCCAATATTTGAGATGTTGAGTTATGACCCTGATTTATAACTCACACCCAAAGGACAATGATGCCACTGATAGATTTATTGCAGCAATCTTCATATTGGTCCTATGAAGTACATCCCAAACAAGAACATATGGCAGGTACCGTTATTTCTCGAGTAATCCACTATCTCCGCTTAGTTAAATCTGAATTCCGGACTAGAAAACGCGTGTATCTGCACGAGCACGTGAAGTTTGATGCTGCCACTTCGCCCGGGCCCGGACTTACTACATACAAATACGGAGATAGTTGATTTCTCGAGATATAACGGTACATGTATATTAATAAGGAAAGCCGTAAACGCGTTTACAAAATATGAAATGCTTTGAGGTACCAAAACGAGACGAGGTATATGTTTTAACTAATTTGATTTCACCCATAAGAAATTCATGTGTGTGGATGAAGGTAACTTGCCCTAAGATGATACACATGAAAGCGATTTATAGTTGCCGAAATGATGACAACCAATGCAAGATACACATAGCAAATTATATTCGTAACTGAGAAATGATTGAGTGCATGATGGTGGTAGTGCATGGGTTTCCAGTTGACAAGAAAAGAGAGTGTGTATTAACATCAAGTTCTGCAGATTGAAATAGAACTGAAACGAAACCGAAACCAGCTTGTATCCACACGTTCAAGCTTTCTGTGAACTTCCAAACCCATTTAAGGTAGAGAGCAGATGGGACAAGATGTAATAGAATAAGAGTATTGAAAAGAAGGCAAGAGAAAAGTAAGGAAAATATGGTATTCGTCCTATATGTTCCTATCCCCAAAGACAAAAACCGCTTGTGTTATCTTTGTTTGTCCTCAGGCTGTGCTCTTCGCAGCGGCAGCCCCCTGCTGTTTCTCCTTCAACTTTTTCTCGCAGTGCTCCAATTTCCCAACCACAGACTTCACCCACTCCTTACCCTTCATCTCCTCCGGGTCCAGCATCACCAAATTCGCATACCGCTTGTTGCACTCATATACATCGTCCGAATCGATACTTTCATCGCACTCACAGAATGCAGTGACCCGTCGTCTTAACATGCTATACAAACTGTTGATCGCCGTGCCCGTGGGAGCCTTTTCAAAATTCGGCAGCCCCGTCACCTCGAAATCGTAATAGACATCAAACTTCCTCGCGGCTGTCTGCATATCGATGAGATCCATAATCGTGTATCCATCACACATATCCTCACATTTCGGCAGATACATTGTGAGCATAAACTTCCACAATCGATAGGTGGCCCTGTGGTATCGAAACACCTCGGACTCTGTAAGAGGGCTATTCCACCATTGCTCTTTCCAATCGTTGTGGGATCTTTGGAGATAATTGACGTAACGAGCGTTATTCTGAAGTTGGGCGATATCATCCCTTGAGAGGCGCAAGTACGGACCGGGGAGAGCGATGACATCATAGTCAAGGTTCTTTTGTTCGAGCATAAGGTTAAGAGCATCCGACCAAGGCTGGAAGTTTTTACGTGCGATGAATGGTGCGATCTCGTTGAAATTCGCAGCCCATACATCGTTGAAGGCGCGATGAGTCAAGACGAGGGGGGGAACTAAAGCAAAGCTCGGCAGAGCTTTGAAGATGTCTATGAGGATATCGACAGGTAAGGTATGAAGGCGGAGGGGTTCAGAGGAATCCATCTTGTTAGGCTAATTGAAATTTTGGTATTGGGTCGATGTAGTGTAACGGAGATAGAGAGTTACAGATGATATTTTTGGGAAGGAATTCTGGATGAGGAGATGATGTTGGTGGGGAAGCGGGGGAGATGGGATCCAAGCGCGGGGAGCCTGATGCAGAGCTTAATATTCCTTGCTAGGGTCTTTTCCTTGCTTTACGGATTGCTTTACTAGTGGATCATTGGTTGCCTGTTGCGCCCCATGGGACTCATGACAAGAAATACACGAGCCAATCGGAAGCTCACCGATCATGCGAGTGTTTCAATTGACAGTGTAACCATATTCCCGTCATTTAGTGAATTCGATAGAATATCGAGAAGTACTAGACTGAGCCATTAGCCCTTGCGCTGCAGTACAATCATCTCATGCTCAATTAATATAATAGGCGTATAATCACGAAATAATGTACTACCAAACATAGAGAGATGGCCAACCGTTCAACGCGCGATCCACGAGTTATCATAAACCGCCGTACCTATAAGAGCCGTACAAGCAAAATAACAGATTATCCTATGATTCCTATCCTATACAGAGTTATCTGTTTAGAGTATCTGGGATACATTCAATACATGTACTTACGCTGTTTACCCACCCATTAATTAAGTCCTGAGAATCCTTGGTAGCAATGACCTCACAAAATTTCTCAGGACTTAATTAACGCGCGAGTATATCCAACAAATTGCAAATCGATAAAGAAAGCTTTCCTCCTCATTCTAATTTCTAAATCACACTCTCTAGACCTCAAAAATCTTCGAGGAAACCAATCTATGGTCTATCTTGAGATAGCTGACTGGAACGTATGATAGGTCATAATCATGTAGTGATCACCATCCGAATTTTGGGTGTCAGTGATGAGTGGTGCAAGAGGTACCCTTAGGGTCGAGGAACTGTGGAACTAGTGTAACGATAGGCGTATAGCGGGGGTTTGTCGAGCGTAGACTTCAGCACGGTGGGACTGGTTCCACGCCCGGCTGCTGAACCCGAACAGGTAATGGGGGGGGGGGTTACTAGTATTGTTAGGAGAAGAGGGGGACCCACCGCAAGTGGGGGCGCAGCCACTAACTTGACCCTAAGTCTTCATCTTTCAGGAACTGAGCATGAGGAAGTAAGATTACCCTTAGTGACGTGGAACTGTGGAATATCCGTTACTAGACGATAATTGTATCACGATAGGATACGTGAGAAATATACATGAGCATTTCAGTTCGTCATAAACTGTTAGTACAGCCCTTATTTCTTTTACTGTAAAATATATGACATCGCTGAAAAACAGTAAACGTACCCGACGCTGGTTTCTAAGATTAATAACTTATCAGCTCAAGATTGATTCGGCTCTGGACTAGTACCGCCCTAGGTATTGAAAACAATCACAGACTAGACGATCAAAATCTCTCCATGTTAATATCACGACAAAAATCGATTTCAATCACACGCAATCACTCGTTTATAACTACATATATCTTGGCATTCTCAAACTGGCTCGATAAGAAAGCTCTAGTTGGATTCCCAATCACGAGACGAGATAAAACAAGGCAAGAACAGCAGCTTCACCTTGCTTAATCCTATATAGAAACACCGCCTGGAACAATTATGAATCTTAGTTGGGAAAAGAGCGTTTAAACCCGAACGAAACATTCAAATTCACATGATCATATGACTTGAACCCAATTAAATAACTTAGAAGCCTAAGACTCGTTAATTACATTCAATACACACATTTCTCTCACTTAATGTATAAGCAAACTGGTTAGTGAGTCAAGTCGTCGAGGCACCAGATAGGGTCCTGGGATATAATTTACGGACACTGCGAGATATGCATAGGCAAGTGGTCTAGCTAGCAGATAATGTGCCAAGGCCACCCATCATGTTAGGCACCGTCTACATGCGTTTAATCCTCGGGAGCTAAATGTTCTACTAATTACCAGCCGCACTAGTGCTTTTGTGCCATTTATCTACTAACGAAAGGCTAGTACGGAATTTTTGTCATTTACATCTATCTGTCTATGGACGGTTAGGCTAACGGTCTATTCTGTTTTCACATAGGGGAAGGTGTGATCTTTGCGTGAGGAATCATGATCATTGAAATTAAGGAGAGCGTCTAGGGTTAGGTGTATATAAAGGAAATGACCGGAACGCATGAAAATCCCTGAAATTGTAGGCACGATAAAATATTGGCTTTCGGCGCGTTTTATATTGATACACAGCACACATCTATATGGCGCCTCTATTGTGCCAGTCATGACAAGCCTAGATGGCCATAGTGGTCATTAGCCCAGACCAAAAAACGATTTATTGGGTACATGTAGTGTGATTTTGGTACTAATAAACCACCTTTTTCTAGCGATTATCTGGTTATATGGAATAAACTATGGTTTGGGGGCTAATTTTGGCGGTGGTCTTTAAGCCTGTGATGACTCGATTACTTACTAGCCCTGTCTACTCCTTCAAAAAGAAAAATTGAGAAAGCCGGAACAGACAAGTTGTAGCTCTATAGACTATAGCTAGGATCCCCTTTTGGAAAGCGAGATAGATTGGGCAAGTAGGCCCCCGGGGGGGGGGGGAGTGAATTTTGTGAAGAAATGCAATAGGTTTATCGTCACTGGCTCCGGCACCGTAGAATACTCCTTAGTCACATGAACAGTACCAGTTTCTATTACTTTCATGTATCTAGCCAGATATTAAGCGTATTCCTCATGGTATATATATATACAGCCACTCAGCAAAAGTGTTCGTGATTTAGTTTTAATGTCAGTGCACAGTGTGGCGCACCCGTATTCTTGATGTTATTAATGTTGAGATTCAAAATAAGGAAAAATATATAATATAGTTGGTGACTATATATAAAAGAAGATAGGTCATTGATCTTATTCTTCATTGATTCCGGGCGCCATTGATCACTGGGAAAGTCTTCTCTTGGAGTTTTTTTGATGCTCCGCTACGGTTACCTATGGAGAAATGTCTCACTTCGAAATCGGAATCACGAACACTTTTGCAGAGTGGCTGTATATCTCGAGCAGTAAAGATACATGTAGCCATACCCGTCTGGATGACTCATAACCATATTATAGGTAGAGGACAGCGAAACATCGTATAGATTTGGTCAGGAGCTACTATGTGAAAAACAAAGCAGTATGTACAAGGCAAGACGCCTCAAGTATTCCATCCCGTCTCAAAGCCTGGTAAGCCCGCACTACCGAAAAAAGTCATTGAAGGTATTTTTTCCTCTATCCTTTTCCCCAAAAGCCAAAAGAAAAAAAACGGGAAGATGAATTTAGCTAACCACCTTTTTCAAAATGAGAAGAGTCCTAGGTCATCTCAGCCATGTATCTGCGGATGGTGTAAAATACGTTCAATGAGGGGTAGTGGTATGTAGCTGAGTGAAACAGCCATTCAAGAAGCCTACTCTGCCTGCTGTTTTGGACCTCAAAAGAACCATATTCAAGCTCAACATAAGAGGAATCGGGGATGACTTCGGAGGTGCGTGAAAAGTTACTTTAATTTGATCCCTTGTAGTTACGGGCATCATGTAGGTACTTAAAGTACCTACACGCATGCATGCAACCCCAGCTAGATTGCATGAATCTACATGTATTCTTACCATAGCCTACCTAGCATAAACGCAGCTTATATCGACGAGCCTACACAGGAGACCTAGGGGAGTCTACTCTAGAATACGGCTGTATGTACCTACATACTTCTCTAGCTAGTGTTATTGTGATACAGTACATACTCTAGAGTGCTATATTGCCCTAAAACGTGCTGCTAGCTGCATACTCGAAGGGCAAGAGGTCTTGTGTAGAGCAGAGCGCACACAGGGATGCCTGTGGATCCAACTTCGGTAATCTGTGGTCGGGACTCGGGGGTATTGTATTCAGATCCGGACCACCGAATGTCTCGGGATGTGGTGGGTGGGTGGGTTGGTAACACAAAAGTCATGTGTAACACGAGAAAAAAAAATCGAATCATCATGGTGTATTTTCACTGCATGATGTTTTCTTCGTTCCATACAATCCTTTGCATGCTGAACTTGTTTCCATAGTCTTTGACGGAACACAACATCTTCCCGAAGCTCCCTCACTTTCCTTTGCGCCATCCGGAGACAGGAGATCGCAAACAACCGTGGTTTTCGCCGCGCTGGTGATTACATGATGTAGTTGCGCAGGTAGAACCCCTCCTTCCTCGCCATGCACGGGGTATAAAAAACGGTTCCCCGAAGGCAGCACAGCAGATACTATATATGTAAGTCAATTATACCCCCCTCACATTCACACTAACCTAGAGAGAAGAGAACGGATCACGGGCGAGTGATTGATTCCCGGTCTCTTCTAAGAATATTATAACCGGTTTAACCCGTTGATCAAACGAGACAAAGAAAAAAAAGGTCCCATGTATATCGTGGTATGTATCCTTTGCATGTGGTATGTACCTACATATCCAGTGCGCTAAGCTACCTGCGAAGATGTTTTGGCGCTCTAGAACGATCCTTAGGCCAGGATACTTGCTGCCTTGTAACCTTACGAACTATACCCACTCTATCAGTTACAGTACCTATGTATTCAGATAGAGTAGATACATACAGCACCGTTGTAGCTACCGGTATCTCATTGGCATGTAAGTAGACTCGGTGTGATTTAGCCGGATTAACCCCTCGGTACTTACCACAGAAACTTTTTGCGAGTGAGGGGCCCTACCATCTCGTCCAAACGGTTATTGGATGATGTTGGCCGGCAGTACACTTTCTTTCGTGATGGTTATCTATTTTCTTTTCTTTTTTCTGGCGTTCCCCTTCTTCGGATGAATGAATCCTTGGTTACAATTCATTAATGCTCGACCTTGGCGAGGGTGGGAGTCCCCTGGTATGTATGCATGGAAATATTGTGCGCAGGGTTGTCGAATTCTCGTTGGCTGATTGCACCTCATCCACATCACGATAGTAAAGGTACTGTCGTTCACGGGGTATTGGC